CTGCTCCCCTGCCAGGCTGCAGTTACTCCTGTTCCTCATCACTATCCACAAGGCTTCTCCTGCCCCATGGGATCTGCTTTTCTGTGTCTGGATGACCAGAATAGGGAGGAATAGGGGATTAGAGATAGGTAGGGTAGAGGGACATTGTCTGTGACCTGAGCAAGGTGCTGTTCTTTGTACCCCAGGTCCTGGAGCACACACTCCTGAGCTGTGCCCTGCTGGGCACTTCTGCCTGCCAGGGACCAACCTCAGCACACAACATCCGTGCCCAAAGGGCACCTTTGGCCCCAGGACTGGTGCCACTCGTGAGTCTGACTGTGAGCCCTGCCCAGCAGGTGAGTAGGGACTGGGCACAGGACACCTGGGAAGGGTGAGGGAAACATGAGTTCTCCTTTCAAGTTATGATGTTCTGTGCAGCTCCTCACACTGAGGCTGTTTTCTGTTCGTTTCAGGCATGTATTGCTCAGCCCCAGGTCTATCCCAGCCCTCTGGATTTTGCTATCCAGGTTATCACTGTGCCAAGGGAGCTGTCAGCCCAGCTCCCTTCAAACACAGGGTGAGTGCCAGGCAGCAGCACAGCAACCCCAGTGACCTGGGGGCAAGGACTGGGCTGTCACATCCTCCTGGCTACTGCTGTCATGTTTTCCAAGCATTCCTGCTCTTCATGAGGCTGCTCATGCCTCTTCCTGCTGCCCCTGAGAGCTCCTCAGCTGCTCTTGGTGTCAGCTGGAATATGTTGCTGCCCACGGATAAATTCTGGCCAGACCTGTGTTTCTGTGCATTGCACTGGAGCGTGTGGTCTCATATCTCCTCCAAAAGTTGGCATCAGAGCTGGCATAGCCACACCTCAGCATCCAAGGCCCTTTTAATGCCAGCCACGGTCTTTGTTTTAATTCAGGGGCAGCAGACTTGCAGGACTCAGCTCCTGTGTGCCCTCCCCCGAGCTGTCTCTGTGTGCATTGTGTTAAAACTCCCTTTTCATGGCAGTTTTTCTCTGTGTTTTTCTGGTGCAGGTGGAATCCTCCAGCCTGGCTCTGCCTGGCAATGACATCTGTCCCATGGGACACTTCTGCCCCAGGGGCACGGGGTATCCTGTGCCATGTCCTCCTGGATCCTTCTCCCCCTCGGTGGGCCTGGAGGCAGAGGAGCAGTGCCAGCCCTGCCCAGCTGGGCACTACTGCAGTGGCACGGGGCTGTCTGAGCTGGCCCAGACGTCGCTGTGTGACCCAGGGTGTGTGACAAAGCTCAGCTGTGCTGTGTGTTATAGCTCGGGGACACCCAAACCAGCAGATCCTGTGCTTTCCTTACCCCTTTGGTTGGGATATTGCATCTCTTTAGTGAGCTCAGTAGATGTTTCAGAGCCTTTCCTTTTCCCTCAGTTTGCCTGACATTCCACCCCAGGCTTATCCATGGTTTTTCACTGTTTTCAGCGAAAAAATTATCATTACAAATATTAGTATTACTGTTGCAAGTCCCTTATTTAGCCTCGTAATCACCCTTGCTGAGAATTTAGCATTTCTTTCCCTCCCATGTTCCCTTCTCCCACAAGGTGGTGCAAGAACCAGGGACAAGGTACCATTTGCAACCTGTGCAAGGGGAGTGCCCTGAGCAATATCTGTCCATCTCAGGACATTCCTCATGGCAAGAGGCTACAGAAACTCAATTTTATATGTGAAAGAGAGTCTTAGAAGTGATTTCAGTGCAGCGTAACAAGATTTCCTGGGGAAGGATTCCTAATAACAGCTGGCTCTTGAATCTAATGGAGAAAATCACAATTAAATTTGTCTGGAAGTCGAAGCTAAGCTCGGAATATGGGTGAGGGCTACGTTTGGAAGGGCTAAAAATAATGAGCCACCAAACCAGATTTCTTGGGAGTAAGAGGGATTTGCCCCATCCCGTTCAAATTTTAAATGTTCCCAAAAAAATGCTTTAACCCCAGAAAGATGTTATAGCCTGGCTGTAACAGCAGGGGTTAAGGTTTGTGAGCTGGATGACAGTGAATATCACATGACAGTGAATATCACATGACTATAAATGACCCTCGACTTCCAAAATCTGAAATCTCTGTGCCCAGGTTGCTTTTTAACACCTCCACCATGGAACATCCATCACTGCCCATAACCTGCTGTTCAATCTGAATAGATCTTGCTTCCAGGCAAAAAAAAAAGGCAACTTTGCTGGTCTTTCCTTCAGTGCTGTTCCTTTTCCTTAAGGACTAGGAATTGTTTCTTCTTCAGAAAGGACATGGTTTTTGAATCCCTGTCTGCAGCAGATGATGGGATCACAGCTCTCGTTTCCTTGTTGCTCAGCTCTTAGAACCATTGTAATTTTTGTATTTCCTCATCTTTACTTGAAGTGAGGGCGTGGGAGGGAAGTGGTAAAGGGAAGAGTCACTGATGGCATTAAAGCAGAGGCCTGCAAAAGGACTGGGGATAAAAAGAGGCTCAGCAAAGGCAGCAGGAACCGAACACTTGGGCCCTGTGTTTTGAAGTAAAAATACTTTAGTTTTCAAAGGCTTTTTCTTCCAGAAAAGAAAAAGACTCTTTTCAAAAAACTTTTGAAAAAAAAAAAAAAAAAAGAGCCTTTTACCAGGATTTTCAGGTGGGCACCAAAGTACAGATGTGTGGGGGGGGAAGTTGTCAGCCAAACTGAAACAGGCTGCATTTCCAAGGGATGTCTCCCCCACTTAATGCCTCTGAGTGGGGCTGGGAGCTGTTTCAGTCTGAATTCTCTGTCTTCCAGCTATGTTTGCCTGGAAGGAAACTCAGCTCCCTGCCCCTCTGATGGGATCCATGGGTACAGATGTCCCAGAGGCTTCTACTGCCCCGCGGGCACGGGGCTGGAGCTGCCGTGTGAGCCTGGCACCTTCAGCCCCGTGCCCGGGGCAGGGACCTGCCTGCCCTGCCCGCCTGGAATGACCTGTGGAAGTGCTGCCACTGTGGAGCCCCTCACCTGCCCCAGAGGTGAGGCTCAGGTGTGCAGGAAAACCCCAAACACGGATGGGAGGAGGTGGGATGGAGACCTGCAGGAAATCTTCCTGGCTGGGCAGAGATTCCTTCAGGGAATGGGGGGTTTGCTCAGCATTCCCACCTCTCTCTCCTGTGTTCATTCCCCCCTCCATGTGCAGGTTACTACTGCCCAGCTGGAACTGCTGCCCCACTGCCATGTCCCGAGGGGACACTGAACACCTTGGAGGGGGCACTGGCCCCCACTGCCTGCAGGCTGTGCCCAGTGGGGAGCTACTGCAGGGGAGAGGCCAACTGGGAACCTGATGGTGAGTTTGGGTAATAACCCACCCCACAGCACAGGGATGGGATATTCAGGATGCAGGGAATTAGAAAATATCTCCATGAACAGAGTAAAGACCCTTCACCCTGTGCCTATCAGCCACTTCTTTTCCCCTGTCTCATTCTTTTCACTGAGCATTTATTTTGGGTGTTGTTTTGGATGTTAGTGCATTGCTTTTCCTTCTCTCCCTTCCTTTTTTTTTCTGCTTTCTCTTCCTTTGTTCTAACACTTTTATTGCTGCTCTTTCTGTCCTCTTAAACACTTCCCCTCCCATTTAAGCACAGGGTGATTGTCGCTGGGGCAAAATGCCAAGGTTGGATACCTGGAAAGAAGAGAGGCAGGACTCTTCCCACAGGAAACAAATGATAGGGAACTAGTTAGAGAACTGATAAGGTAAGCAAATGCTAGATGAGGTCAGAGCAGGTAAAGAAAGGAAGTGATAGAGACCAAAGGTTAATGAGAAGGAGGAAAGGCAAACCCAAAGGTGAACTGCCCAGGGTATCAGCAGTGATAAAATAGGATAAGGATGGGATTTGGCTTCTCTTCTCTGAGTTATCTGCCTATTTCTGAGGGTTTGAGGAAATGCCACCCTCTCTGTCCTGCCCTGGCAGGTCTGTGCTCAGCTGGGTACTACTGTGCAGGAGGAGCCACTGATGCCACTCCCCGTGGGACACCTGCCTTCCCTCTCAGTGGGCCCTGCCCACCCGGGCACTACTGCCCAGAGGGAGCCCCCTTCCCCATTGCCTGCCCAGCTGGGACCCTGAACAATGCCACGGGTGAGTGTGACCTCCCCTGGGCCTGGCATCGCTCAGCAGCTGCCCCTTGGCCACAGCAGGGTGTTGGCACCCACAGCCAGGCCTGGTGGTGCCCTGTGTATGCCCAGCTCAGGTCAGTGCTGCTCATGCTGTTCTGTGCTGGGTGTTCTTCCTCCTCCCCCTCTCGCTGGCCCTGGTTTTTGGTTTGCCCTCAGGTGGTGCCTCCCCCCAGAGCTGTGTGCCCTGCTACCCCGGCTCCTTCTGTGCTGCTGCTGGGCTGAGTTCTCCAACAGGACCTTGTTCTGAGGGGTTTTACTGCCCAGCAGACTCCAGCTCTGTCAGCCCCACAGCGTTGCTCTGCCCCAAGGTACTGCTGAGGGGGTGAAGGAGGGGGGACTCAGCTCTGGGCAGTTCCCACAGTGCCCAGGGGTCACACACCCCTCACTGACACATTGATTGCATCCACACAGAGTGTTGCCCAAGGTTTTGGTGACACAGACCCTGAGTTTGGCGTGAAATCCTCTCCCTCCTCTGTCCTTGCAGGGTCACTTCTGCCCGTCAGGGACAGCCCAGCCAACACCATGTCCTGCTGGAGAGTACCAGCCAGCCACAGGCTCTGCATCCTGCATCCCCTGCCAGAGAGGGTTCTACTGCCAGGACCTGGTGACAGGAGACCCCAAGCGCTGCCCACCTCATTCGTACTGTCCCACAGGTGCACTGGAACTTGCCTGCCAAGGGTTCAGGTGTTGTGTGCCTCTCTGTGATCCCAGAGGTGTACAACCCTCAGGTTTGAATTCCTGTAGGCCGGGTGACAGGGAGGTGGCAACGAGCCAGCGTGTCCTGGGAGTCCTTTGTCACGCTCTGATCCAGGTCAAGAGCCTTGTCAGACCACAACAGCCTCCCTGAGGTTTGTTATTGTCTCTGTGGTCTCCTTTCCAGGCACACGAGTTCCTCTCACGTGTCCTGAAGGCACCTTCACTCCTGGAAACATGACTGGCCTCTGGAATGAGAAGGAATGTCTGCCTTGCTTACCTGGTCACTACTGCAGGTTATGAATCATTTCAGTCTGGCTTGTTTTTCACTTTGCCTTTGAGATCCTTGGTTGGTGCTGATAAATGGGTGCTAAGTTCCTCCGAGCTTCCCCACCACATCTCTCTCATTCCAAGTAAAGAAATACAAGCTTAGACACAGCTTTTGGGTACTCAGAAGTGTCTGGCTCACTCTAGTCACCTGCATATGGAAAAAAGGGGGCTGTTTTGTCTCTCCTATCAGTGTAAGAAGTTATTTTTCATTGCAGAGTTCACTGCACCAATACTTGCTCTGCCTCTGCCCCGGCTCAGCAGCAGTGGGTTGTATGTGGACTCTTGCTGTTCTCTCTGCTCCAGGCACGGGCAGCTGGAGGGGAAATGTGCTGCTGGATATTTCTGCCTGGCTGGGAGCTCCCAGGCTGCTCCCCAGGGTCACAGCTTCTCCTGGCGCTTCCTGGCCGGGTGTCGCTGGGGTCAAGTGTGTGCAGGGCTGTGTCCTGCAGGTGAGTCAGGACCTCACTGCTATTTAGGGTGTAGAATTATTGGCTTGCTTCTAACCAGCTGGAAAACGTGTTATCTTGCATGAGATACTGTGATCCCTTCTTTTAAATTGTCGTTGCTTGTTGGTTTCTTCTGTTTTTTACATCTTTTGGACAAATTTGTGTGCCTGACCAAAAAGGCACCTTGAATTTCTGGTGCTGAACTGCTCCTCCAGAAGAGTTTGAAGGCTTTTGGCCTGGCTTTCTGTGTGCACAGCAGCCTCCCAGCAGCTGTGTAAATGTTCATTCTGCAACAGCAGGAGGTTCTTGCTCAAACATTTTTGTCATTGGAGGACTCAGTGCCATGGTCTAGTTGGGTCATGGGTTGGACTCGATGATCTCAGAGGTCTTTTCCAACCTGGTTGATTCTGTGTGGTTCTGTGACTTGCATATTTTACTTTTATCTCTTTGCCATCCCTTTCTGTAGGTTTCTACTGCCTGGAGGGATCTGAGGTGCCCCTACCATGTCCTGCCAACACCCTTAGAGATCTTCCAGGGGCTGTGAGGAGGGAGGATTGCCTGCCCTGTCCACCAGGACGCTGGTGCAAAGCAGGTTGGAACTGGGGGATAAACCCTGAGGGGAAGGGATGGGAGTTGCTTTTTAAAAGAGTTGTGTGTGTCCCTGAACCTGGTGAGGCTGGATTTGAGGTCAGACATGGCATTTTGGGACAGTCCTGGCAGTGGGACACTCTAGTGATGAGTTTTAGTGTCTGCAGAGAAAAGAGGTATTTAACAGTGTTAATATAACATGCTGTTCCAGCAACCATAGGAAATGTTGGAGAGCCTGAGATCACAACCAGTCTCCAAATATCCCTGTCAGAAGAGGGGCTTGGATGGTGGAGGTGGATTGTGCACAGACAGTGCAGTAGCTTAGGGAGGACCCAGCAGGTCACAGGACAAAGGTGTTCCAATCCTGTTGAAAATGGCTCTTTAAATCCTTGCTTTCTGTTTGTCAGGGGACTCAGAGGCCCATCCATGCCCAGCAGGACACTACTGCCCTGGGGGCAATGGCAGTGAGCACGGCAGCCCCCTGGCACCCCAGCAGTGCCCTCCCCAGACATTCCGTGGGCAGCCGGGGGCTCGGAGCCCAGCTGACTGCCAGCCCTGCCCTCCAGGGTACCACTGCCCCCTGCCAGGTCAGTGCCAGGGCAAAACCAGCCCTTCCCCACCTCCAGAGCTGATCAGAAAGCTCCCTGAGATGAGATAGTCAGTCGTGCCCACAATTATCCCCCAAACTCCTCCTGGCCACCCAGCCTCCCTTTCTTCTCTCCTTTCTCTGCCTCACAGGTCTGACAAGGTTTGAGGATTATCCGTGCCCCCCTGGGTACTGGTGCCCTGGGAAAGGAGATACTTTCCTTTGTCCAGCTGGCACTTCCAGGACCCAGCCTGGTGCAAAGTCATTGGAAGAGTGTGATCCCTGCTCACCTGGATATTATTGCCCAGACCCAGCACAGACAGGGCTGCCCAACACCCAGGGAGTACCTTGCAAACCTGGCTATGAATGCCCAGCAGGTGACAGGACCTTTGTTTTCTTTATTTCCTTTATTCCCAGCCATTTCTGAGTCGAGAAGGCAGATCAGCAGGCACAGCCATGACATTTGGCAGTGACTCTGGTCCCATTCTTGCAGCAGCCCTCCCAGGACATGGTCACTCCCAGCCCTCCCTTCCTGTTCTCGTTTAGCTGAAGTTGCCAGAGGAAGAAAAGGAATAGATATCTTCATGCAGGGCTAGGCATTGAGGTTTTAGCATTTTCTGCTAAATAGCAAACTGGTTTCCAACAGATCTGTGCCCTTTTGTGAGCAGTGATGTTTATGGACACTTAATAAAGCCCCCTTGCTCCTTGTCTCCCCAGCACAGAGTCTCCTGTTCTGGGTATGTCACATAATATATCACTGTTCACCCTTTTTCCCCCAGGTTCAGTAAATCCCAAGCCTTGCAGGCCTGGCCTGTACTGTGGTGCTCTCACAGGTGAGCCCCCTGTCTGTCCTGCTGGGTACCACTGCCCCGAAGGATCCTCCACATACAACAGCCCTGAGCAGCTGTGAGTACCTGGAGTGTTGGTGCAGCCAGATTTCACTTCCTAAAAACTCTGAATTGTGCCTGGGATTGAACCTAAACCACAGTCCTTGTGCACTGTGCAAAAGCAAAGGAATCTTTGTAACTGCAGTCACAGGTTTGGTGACTCCTAAGACTGACTGGGGCCATTTATGATTTCTGCTGCTCAGCTCGTGCCTGGAATCAGATGAGAACCGTTTTTAATTTTACCCTCTGTTTGCACTGGTCATTGAACCCAGAAATCAAACTGGTTTTTAGAGGCTTTCTCCCCCTCCCTGCCTTGTTTTGCCTTCCAGGTGTGTGTTTCCATACTACTGCCCCCCTGGCAGTGCCCACCCGGTGCCATGTGAGGGAGGGTCCATGGCCCTGCCCCTGCCTGGTCTGAGGGACTCCTGGGAGAAGTTCTGCAGGGTCTGTGCTGCAGGGACCTACCGCAGTGCCCCCCTGCTCACAGCCCCCTGCCAGCCCTGCCCCGCTGGCTTCCTCTGCCCACCAGGTACCCGGGGCACTGGGGCAACAAACAGCAGCTCAGACTGGATGCAGAGAGCTCTCAGTTCTGTGTGGGCAGAGCTCTCAGCCCTCTGCAGTCATAAAACCCTGCTGTGGGCTCCCATGTGGGTTTGCCACGGGATTTGCCCAGTGAAAGAGCTGGGAGAAAGAAACCGAGATTTGTATTTAAATATGAATTTATATTTAAATATGGATTTATATTTAAATATGAGTTTGTATTTAAATATGGATTTATATTTAAATATGAGTTTGTATTTAAATATGGATTTATATTTAAATATGAGTTTATATTTAAATATGAATTAGATGGGAAAATGCTGAATGTTGATTATATATACAGACATGTGTATTTATATATATTTATATGTATATATTTGTGTATAAGTGGGATAAGCAGGTGGTCTCTGCCCCTCTCTTAGCACATGTTGGGGTCCCTAAGCGGTGCCTTTTCTCTAGGCAGTGAGAGCTACCACCAGCAGCCTTGTCCCCGTGGCCACTACTGCCCTTCCCTGGCACCTGCCCCCCTGCCCTGTCCCCCGGGCACCCACGGGAGCAGCCACTTTGGGAAGCACAGAGGGGATTGCCAGCCCTGTCCTGCTGGCACCTTCAACCACCTCCCTGCCCAGGCTGCCTGTTTCCCCTGTGGCAGCTCCTCTTCCTCTCAGCCTGGTGAGTTTTTGTGTGTGTGAGTGAAGTTCCACTGCTGTTAAGAGAAAGACTAACAAGGAAATCACCTGGAAACGTGATTCCTTCCCATGGTTTCATGATGGAGCACAAGCCCTGGCATCCTCATGGTGCCAGTGCCCAACTGCTCTTCCCCTGTCCCACCCAGAAAGAGAATTCAGTTGTCAAAACTGTCTTTTTTTTAACTCTTACACTCTGTTAGCCGAGGGGATTTGAGCTCCTTAAAGGAAGGAGGAGATGAGTACCTCTACTAATTCTTGCTCTCGTAATTCTTGCTCTATTATTGCTTTGGACTTTCACCAGGAGTATTTTAGCCCTGAACTGGGGAGCTTGTGTTGAGTGTAGGTGTGCTTTTGAGCCAAAATTGGGCACTGAGAGCATGATAAAGCAGGGTGAAGGTGGAAAACTGGAAGGTAGGCAGCTGTGCCCAGTGAAGAGTGCCTGTGCCTTACTCAGTGTGTGTGCAGCACTGTCCCAGCATTTCAAATCAAGTGGATTTGAGATGTTGGAGCACAAAGAGGGGCTTGGCAGCCTTGACTGGTTGGGTCCTTACCCAGTCCAGGGGCTTAATGTACAGATGGATGGAGGGCTTGTCAAAACTGCTGCAAATGAGCAGCTGGGCCTTTCTGCCTCTCTGCTGAAATGGGGCTGCAGGAAATGGTCTGATGGCTGTGGAGCTGAAGGCAGGCTGGCTCCAGCTGCCTGCCCTCAGCTCTGCTCCAGCAGTGTCACTAAAATGAGCAGTGGGATTTGATGAAGGGTATTGAACACTGGAACTGCTCCTTTCCAGAGAGCACAGTTTTTATTCCTCGCCCCAATCCCCACTCTAAATCCAACCTCTCCTCAAAGGTGCCACCAGCTGTACCTGCCATGGGCTGAACAGGGCTTTCCAGCAGTCAGATGCCTCCTGTATCTGCCAGGCAGGTTATGTTTACTATGATGAGAGAGGCAAGAAAGACCCTGACAGCAACAGCGACCAGGACTGTCGACCTCAGGTAAAATTTGGCTTCAAAACAGAATTGTTTTGTGATGTGCAGAAGAGGGAGAGTAATTGCCCCAAGCAGTGCTTTGGGCTGAAGACACAAGCAAGTCCTTTAACTGTTTTTTTGGGTTTTTTTTTTTGAGACCCTTGACCCTTCCTTGTAGGATAATGGCACTTGATTTCTTTGCTAGGACCTTATGAGGCTAAATTTAAATTCACAAGGCATGGAGGCAAAGGATACTTCCACAGCAGGGCAGTGGGGAGCAGCACTGTCTCATGTAGATGATAAATGCAGGAATTTAAGCCTTCTTAATGTTGATATGAAGTTCTTCATCAGACTTGCATGAGGGATTTGGGTGGGAGGGGAAACTGCCGCGTTCTTTCTTCTGTGCTCTCCAAGTTGTCCTTTAACCTTGTTAAAGGTTACTTTAGGAACTTCAGCCAGTGATTCTCACTTATTGACTGGATTTCTGTAGAGCAGAGATAAAACGTGTCCTCTGTTAGACAGCCCAAGTCTTTGTTGGGCAGTAATTAGACGAGCTGACAACACACGGCGCCAGCAAAGAACTGCAGACGCTTTTTATGTTGAAGGCCTGACACCGTGGAGAGGGAGGGAATTTTGGGGATGCTGTGGGTTGGTTGAAGTGCTGCCTGGTTTCCCACGTGCTGTGGGTGCTGTGTTTGCAGGTGGACGAGCTCTGTGCCCCCGGGCAGGTCCGTCTGGCAGCCACACGACGCTGCGTCGTCCCCGCGCGCCACGACTGCTCCCCTGCCTGCGGGAGGGCGGGGGGAGAGCTCCACGCTGAGCTGGGCATGTGAGTCAGAGAATCACAGAATCATAGAATCAGCTGGGTTGGAAGGGACCTCCGAGATCATCAAGTCCAACCCTTGATCCAACCCCACTGTGGTTCCCAGCCCATGGCACTGATGCCACATCCAGTCTCACCTTAAAAACCTCCAGGGACGGAGAATCCACCACTTCTCTGGGCAGCCCATTCCAATGGCTGATCACCCTCTCTGGAAAAAAATTCTTCCTAACATCCAACCTAAACCTCCCCTGGCACAGCTGAAGACCCCGAGCCCTCTTGTCTTGCTGAGAGTTGCCTGGGAAAAGAGACCAACCCTCACCTGGCTCCCCCCTCCTGTCAGGGAGTTGCAGAGAGTGAGGAGGTCTCCCCTGAGCCTCCTCTTCTCCAGGCTGAGCCCCCCCAGCTCCCTCAGCCTCTCCTCACAGCACTTGTGCTCCAGACCCTTCCCCAGCCTTGTTGCTCTTCTCTGCACCTGCTCCAGGACCTCAGGGGTCATGACTGATCAGGGCCTTTTGTCCCCTTGGCAGATGTCACTGCAAGCAGTACATCTCTGCTGAGGAGCTCTGTGACCAGCTGTGCCTGCTGAGAGCCCCACGCATCTCCCTGGGGTTTGGCACCAACAGGGAGCTGCTCCTGAGGATGGGTGAAGGAGAAGTGAGGGTAGGTCTGGGGGAAGGGAATGCTTTCTCAGCAGGCAGGTCTGGAGGGAGCTCTTAAAGATCCCAGCTTGGGAAAAGGGACTCATGGGTCCTGAAGTTACAGGGTTGGTGCTTTACAGAGAAATGACAGTTCCTGAACTGTGGGGAAAAGCCTCACTAGAGGAACCTTGTACAGCTGCAGTTAAGCCTGGTCACAAACCAGGATTGGAGCCCAGTGTTGGTTGTGTCAGTGAGCAGTGTTTCCCTCTGCTTCCCATAGGAAGTGGCAAATGTCCTGGGCCCAGATGAGCACGTGCAGAACAGCCAGAGGGTGCATTTGGTCCTGTTCAGCCCCAGTGGAGTGCTGGGTTTCATTGTCTCCAGCACAGATGTTCTGGATGCATTTCTCGTGGGTAAGGCTTGAGAGCCCCTGAGAGTGAACCTGAATTCCAGCCAGACTGAGCCATTTGTTTCCTTTCAAGTTGGCCCAGTGGGAATTTATTATCAGATGCTCCAAACTATTTAGAAATTAGGGAGATACCTTGTTCTGTCTGGGATTAAACAGTGAGGAACTGCACTGCCTGCACAGTTAGCTCCCTGGGAATGGGTCAAATAAAGATTGCAGGATGATTTTGGATTTCCAAGAACTAGGAAGAAACCCCATTTGGAGGCAAATCTGTTGGCAACTGTGTGCTGGCTCCTGATTCCATTTGCTCCTCAATTAGGGTGGTGTGGCTGAGAGCAGAATTTGGCCTTGTGAGCTGTAGTTGCCCACAGGCACAAAATAAATAGTTCTTCCTTGCCAAGGGCTGGGTGTCTTCACATGCTGCTCGTTTTGTAGGATTCACTGTGGTTTGTTCTGTTGCCTGGCAGGAGATTTCCCATCAAATCAGCTGCTGCAGAAAGGTCATCGATTCCAGAGGACTTCCTCCAAAGGTACCCAGGCCTTGCCCCTGGTTCCCAACCCTGTGGTGTGTTTGGAAGCAGGAGACACGATCCTTTTCCAGCTCAGCATCGATTCCCAGGGTGAGTGTTGCTGGGTCTGTGTGTGCAGACCCGTTCAGGGCAGTGACTCCATGGTTCCTGTGTGAGCACATCCCTTCCCATCCCTGCTCTGTTGCCCTCAGGGGATCCCACAACTGCAGTCTGGGCTCTGACAGGGACTTACTTCATGGTTTTCACTTTTTGGTTGGATTTCTGTACGACAGACATAAAGTGTGTTCTCTCTTAGGCAGCACAAATCTTTGTGGGGCAGTAATTAAACTCAAATAAATGAGTCAACACTCATTGGCCCTACAAATGAAACACAGTTCTTTGCCAGCCCAGTGCCAGCTGTCCCAGCTGAAGGGGGTCAGAGCTGCTGACACTGTTCTGGACCCTTCCCAGATCGTGCATCCAGCCATTACCCTGTTTATCAGAAGCAGCATCTCTATAACAGCAACCCCAGCTGGGATTTTGGACCCTTCCGAAGGCTGAACCACCTCATCCAGGAGACTCATCTCAACCTCTCCTGGTAATACCTGCTGTGGATGACAGTACATGTGTTGTGTTACTCACTCCCAGATCCTGGGTGCTATCCTGGGATTTGGGAGTGAGCCTGAGATGGAATCAGTCGGTCCTTGGCAGTGAAAATGTCAAATATGTGTTCAAATCCATGTCTTTACCATCATCACAGCTGGAGGCCAAAGGAAACTTGGATCAACCCAATGCCTTCTTGGCTTCTCTCTTTCAGGTTTGCCCATGTTTTCCTGGAGTCTGGCACATATGTTTTCAGGGATAACACTGTCCAGGAGCACTTCCTGATTGTGACTGTGAATGAAGCCAATGTGAGCTGTGACCCCAGAGCTGTGCCCTTCCAGCCCTCCTCTCTGTTCCAGCTGGCCAGACATGGGGTTTTGAAGCAACAGGATCTGAACTTGGCTCCCAACTGGGCTGCTATCACAGGTACAGCCAAAACACTGGGACACCAACCTTGAGGCTTGACTATGACCTTTCTTGTATTTCTTGAAGTGTGTTTAAACAAGCATTTTCTTTGAAAACACCATCAAACCACTGGCTTTGTCAGCTTTAATCCCTTTCTCCTGTGGAGCTCCCCAAAGTTCACTGCCAAGAACCTGCCTGTGTGGGAGCTCAAGTGGTGAGAGAGGGAAGGAGCAGTTGTGTCTCACCCCACACCCTGCTCCAAGAATTCAAGTGATTGAGGGTGCTTTGTTTTCCTTGGCTGGAAAGCAGAAAGCGACACCGTGTTTCCATGATAAACTAAACTGAAATTAAATACATCATTTGAAAGTTGACTAAAGGCTAAACACGAGGTCAGTTGAGGTCTTTCCTCAAAGCCAGGCCTCTGGGTGAGTGCTTTGCACATACCAGTCCATCAGTGAGAGGCCAGTAAACAACAGAAATGAAAGTGTGGCTTGCAAGTGTGATCCTTGGCTGGGTCACCTCAGGAAACACTTTGCTCCTGGCCTGATGCACCAACCAATGGGGGAAAAGGAGAAGCCCCTGTAATCAATGTGAAAGCTGCTAAATGTTGGTTTGGGGCAGGATACACGGTGGTTTCTGTGTTTCTCACTTCTTGCCATCCCTCTCTGCCTCCCCAGCCATCCTCTTTGTTTTGGGCTCCCTCACCGTGGTGCTGACAACCCTGGCCATAGTGTTCCAGCCTGCTGGCCCTGCCAGCAGCCCCCTGAAGGGCTGGAAGCCACGCTGGAGGAGCCTGGGTGAGCCACACATCCCACCAGAGTACATCCTCCTTAAGGACAGGTAAACCCCCTGTGCATGGTAGGTGTGAAAGTCTGGACAAGAAATCTGCCCTTCTGCTGGAGCTGGGCTGGTGATAACTGCAGTATCTGATTTTTCTGAGAAGAATTAGATGCTCTTCACCCTCTTCTGTCACTCCCTCTAGCCTTCAGTTTTATCAGATGCTTGGTCCTCGTGGCTCTGGAGGAGATGCTGCTTCTGGAGAGAAGGGAACAGCCCCCAGTGCAGGTGAAGTGCTGGGCCAACCCCAGCTGTTCTCCAACTGCCTTCTTCCCACTTACTCCCCATTTTGTTGTCCTGGGTTAACTCTCTGGTGTGAGAATGGTGTCCACCCTGCTGTTCTGGGTCCCTTTGGTCTCCTCAGTTAGGCAGTGTAACCCCCTGTGATTGTAATGGGGTGGAGTTTTCTCCCTTAGGAGTTAGGAGAGGAAGTGGCCAGCCCCGAGAAGCCCTTTAAAAACGGCAGCAAATTTAAATGACCGGTAAAGAAAACAAAATCTTTACAAACATTTCCCTTGGCTTCTTCTGCTGGTCCTTTTCTCCCAAGGCACGTGACTCTGGGGCTTTGTTTGCTTTCTGGGAATGACCTCATCTTGGGAATTTCGGGGTGTTCAGAGGGAACAGCAGATGGCAGCATGAAGTGGTGCTGGGAACAGCTCTGAGAGCAGCAGCATCCCGAGTTTTCTGGGCGAGTCGGGAGCTGATAGTAACGCTCTGTCATCCTCCCCCTCGCCACCTCTTGCCTCATCCATGTCTCATCTTCACAGAGCACGAAATGCTGTTGTCCCCCACGGGCAGGCAGTGGGAAATAAAGCCCGTGGCCAGTGTTTCGGTGTGAGCCCTCCCCTGTGTTTCAGGAGAGCCCTTGGCACGGAGGGTCCTGGAGGATTTCAGCGTCCGCACCCTCTATGACAAGCTGGAGGATCAGAACCTGCACGTGGCATCTCAGCTGGCAAAGCACAGGATGGACGTGCTGGGGTTTTACAACAGCATCAGCCACAGGATTCAAAGCCTTGTGGTCAGTGGGAAGAAAGATTTGAGGGAAGGGAGTCTTGGAAACGTGACTTTTGTAAGATAAATGGTTCCTCTGAAGCGACGGTTTATTGAGGGATGTGTCTTCCCCCTTTCAGTGTGTTATTTTGGCATAAAATAGTTTTATATAGTTTAAACAGTTTATCTAGTTAGTTAAGTTTATCTAGTTAGTTTATATAGTTAGTTAATAGTTTGTATAGTTTAAATAGTTTTTATATGGGAGGCAGAAGTTGGAATGGGTGGATTGCAGGGTGTAACATTGCCAGCAGAGTGTAACCCAGAGTATGACACTGCTGCTCTCTGTGAACAGGACATGGTGCAAGCACTGGACCCTGATGCCCTGAAAATCTTTGCCAGGCAAAGGATTTGTGGGCACAAACCTGCAGACAACAGCGGGGCAGCAGAGGGTGATGAACAGGGTGAGGAACACTGTGGCAACACCTTCCAGCCAGGTGAGAGGACCAGAGAGCAGAGCAAGGGAGGAGTGTCAGAGTGAACAGGTTAAAAACAAGAGCTGGCTCATACACAGAGAAATCCCACAAGACTGTGTCTCTGTGTTGTTCTGGAAGAGCTGACTGACTGTCTTCATCTCAGTTCAGTGAGAGGAGAGGGTCTGTCAGCTCAGGAGGAGATAAACACACGTTTATTTGGAAATGTTGTACAATATGAGACACCTTGTGAAACTTCCAGAGGAAGGCTCCTGCTCTTGGTTTTGGTCTGGGTGTAACTGTAGTTCTTCAGGTGGTTCTACAGGAGCCCATTTGAATTGTTTATCAGGTTCATCAGGTGCTCCATGGCAGGAGGTGAGAGAGTTAATGAAAGCTCTGGAAGGGCTGCTTGGGAATGCTCCGTGCAGGAATGGAGCTGGGAAGGGAGAGATGGAGCACCAGGTCCAAGCAGAGGATGCAGTGCAGGTTGTGCCCTCCCTGGGCAGCCTGGCCAGTGACAGGAAATCAGGAGTGCAAGGCCAGGTGAGTTGCAGGTGTCTGTTGTTGTTCCATCTCTCACCTTTCTGCTGGTTTTTCCCACTCACCCATTTCTTTATCTCTTGGGCCCTTTTAATCCCGCAGGATCACGAGCTGCCTCAGCAATGGGAGCTCTTCAGCAGGAAGGATGCTTTTTTCAGCTTCCCTGGGCATGAAGAGCATGGTAAGGGCAGTGCCATAGCTGGGGGTGCCATGGGTGCTTTCAGAGATCACAAAGAGGGCTGACTCAGTGAAGTCTGGGATAAGAATGGTGTGTATGTTTGCTAAGAGAGCAAATGTATAATTATTTCTTCCCATTTATGGTAGTTATTTTCACTTTTTTTTTTTTTTTTTGCTGAGGTGCCAGTTCAGGGGAGCCACTTCTGCCTCCTCTGTAAAAGAGAAGTGCAGGAGTTTTCATCCCTACAGACCCTTTACACCTTTATATCAAGTGGCCAACTGTAGGCACGAGAAAGGAAGTCATTACACTGATTAAATGCCAATATGGGGAGGTCAGGAAGATTCTATACCATCACTTTGTGCTCCCCACAGGCTCTGGTTGGGTGTTCTCTTTGCTCAGTGCAATATTTCCTTCCTGCAGCCATCCAGCCATGAAAAGCCTCTTCCTTTAGGCTTAAAATTTTCCCTATTTCTCCAAGGTTTAGATCTCCAGTTGCCTTACCTGACTGAGTTGGAGCTGGAGGGCCTGGTAGCAGCTTCCCCCCTTGCCAAGACCCTGTGTGAGATCAAGCAAGCCTTGGTGAATCTGCAGGAACCTTCAGACCCTGATAATCCAGGTAATGAATCTTAGTGTGACTGCAATTTCTGTTTTCCTGGAGTGGATAGAAGATTACCAAGGTGGAGAAGTTCTCTCCCACCCTTGGTGCCTGATAAACACCAATATCTGCTGCAGGTCATCAGACAGAATTCACCAGAAGGTCAATAAGCAGACATCGATGCTTGACTAATTCACACATGTAAATTTGTTTCCTTCTTTTTTCCACTGAATTAATATATTAATTTATTTATTGTCATAAAAGGTTTCTGGGGAAAGTTGTACAGCCAAGATCTGTGATCTTTGGAACCAATTTACCAGCAAGACAGTTCAGCTGGTTTTCTTCATGTGTACTGGCTTCTAGCAGTAAATAAAGAGTTAAAATAACCAGGATTCTTCTGAACTGAACATTTTCCTCAAGCAGTTGCTGAATTTTTAGGCTGTGACGCTCAAGAGTTTGAAATTAATAATGGTGTGGGTTTGGTGTAATTATGGGTGGATCATTTGCATTATTTTGCAATTCAGATCCAGGGGGTTTGCAGAGGATGTGCCCAAACCCTCGAGCCCCTGGGCAGGGATCAGTGCTGGCTGCAGGTCCTGGTTTGTGCCCTGTGGATCAGGGGTGGCACAGCAGCCCCTGGTGCTCTGCTCTGCATTCCCACCCTGCCCTCATTCTGAATTTCTCTGACAGGCAGCGACCATCAAACCAGCGTGGGGAGCTCAGCCCTGCTCTGAGCTGCTGGAGTGAAGAGGAGCTGCACTGCTCACAGCATTGAAGGGACAGAAGCCAGAAGCATTTCATCTCCTGCACAGTAAAACAGCCACCAACTCACTTCCTTGAGGAACCTTATCCCTGGCAATGACTGGAGGTGGATTGTGGGGCAGTGTGTGTGTGTCTGAGGACAGAGCTGCTTTACCTGAAATATCAGAATAGATTGGTATTTAATTGAGGATGTATTTAACGAAATACATAATGGGTAATCCATATTCTGTTTGCTTAACCTTGAAATGCTTTCACACTGGTCTTGGGTTATCAATAATTTGTGGTCTGGAGAAGGAAGCTGAGCTGCTTGATGTCACTGATTTTATAGTTCTCACTGTTATGTCAGTAAAGCAGAAAACATAAGACCACAGGTGGCATAAACCCCCCAGTTTATCAGTGTATTCTGTACAGCTTTTGTGATCTCTGATATGAAGGAAGTTTGTGACTTTTTCAAGTATTTTAGAGCCACACTTTTAAGCCTTGCCCAGCATCTTTACATGTTTTCAGTACGCTCATGCTGATCTCAGTAACTTCTACTGGCAGACACCCTCAGGGTCTCTACAGATGTGATTTTTTCTGAGCAAAGAAGACAAATTATTCCTGCAGTGGTGACTGCTGGACTCCAGTGCTGGGAGCCTGAAATTAAACTGCAGACATCCTTCCTCCCATTCTGCTTCTGCTGACCTGTCTCTGTGAGAGCAGGAGAGCCTGGCTGGGAGGGGGGCATTGTTTCTGTGCAGCAGGAGCAGCATCACCCGCTCCATCCTCACAACATCCCTCAGCTCCAGCTGAAGTGCAGCAACACAATGTTGGCAACCCCCCCAGGTGGAACTGAGCTCCCAGAGCAAAGCCTCTCTCTCCTCACTGCAATATTTACTGACTTGCTTGTGTGTGGAGAGGTTTGTGACCCTGCTCCTTCCTGGTTCCTCGACACAGACCTGTGTTTGCTCCTTCTGCCTTTGCATAACCAGGGAGGTGTGAAGAGAGGGACACTTGGTTGCCCAGGAGGCCAGACAGAAGCTCTCAGGTTTGCTTCCACTGGCAGGTTTGTCTGGTGGATCCAGAGGAGCTGCAGGGGGTTGGTTTTTTTTGGCCCTCATCTACTCATTTTGCTGGTTCCACGTTTTTTGAGCTCGCTCCCAGACACAAAAGGTTTGTTTCAGTTCCTTTGCAGCTTCACCTTGTGAGAATTTAGGTACTTTGCTGACACTTGGAAGGGACTTCCAGAAGATACAAACAATGCAGAGCACCTGCAGGTCACTGTGGTTGCCTGTTGTGGAATGTAGTAGTGAAAAAAAAACCCCTTTCGTTGTTCTCTTCACTGCTTTCTTTTTTAGGTTATCAGCAGATATGCTCATAACAGTCCTACATGGAGGTAAGAGCCTGCAGTGCTTGCTGTCTCTGATATCCACAGGGAAACGTGGTACCCAGCAGGTGATAAAGTTATCTCTGGGATTTGGGGTTCTATTTGTAAAAGGCAGGGTGGAAGGCAGTAGTAAATACAATTTGTCACATTTTTATTGCAGCAGTTTCTCAATGAAAATGTTTTGTTTTAAATAAAAAAAGACGTGATGTGGAATTTTGCTCAAAGTTTTCTTTATTTCCCCCCACTGTGGTTTTCTTAAGAAATACACTTCAGTTATAAGTAAACAACTCCGTTTCAAAATGTTTTGGGTCTTTTTTTTTTCCCTACAAACCCAAAGAATATCAATGAAAAGAGCAGAGTTTCCCAGTGTATCTCTTCATGCTCAGTTAATAGTCCCTTGGAGAGAACAAATAAAAGGAGGAGTGGTGCAATCATGGTGTTTATTCTGCTTCTGAAGTATTTACTGTTGACAGCTCATTTTATAATGTTTTATGGAATCTTCTGGAAGTCCAGGAGTGTTTGGAGTAGCTGTGAAGTCTCCTCATGTGTAAAGGGTGCAGGTTCCCAGGAACTGCTGATGAAAATGGGGGAGTGCAGGGTCACTGAATTTGGTGTTTGGAGAAGGGTCACAGGGCTGTTGGTTTTCCTTTGTTTGCCATGGCTTGTGGCTCTCAAACAGAAAATGAAAAGGCCCTTTTCAACACTCAGTGTGAAGTTCAGCCTCTCTTGGAGAGCATCAAATGCTGCTGTGGCTGTGGGAAGGAAGGGGTGGTTGGGATCCCTGGGAAGGAAGGGGTG